GGGGGGGGGGCTTGGGAAGGGGGACACACCACACCACGGTGACAGCTCTGACCGAAAGCAGAAACCCCCACCGTTGGATTTTTGGGTTCTTTTTTTCCTTTGATTTTTTTTTGTGCTGGAAATGGTGCAATCTGTGTGAGTTTGGGGCATCCCCCTGCGTCGTTCATCTTCATCCCCTTTGCTTCGCACGACACAGGAGGAACCCCAGGCCCGGTCTCTTTTGGGATCATCCCCTGTGCCAGCACTCCTCACGGTCCCCAAGTGCTGCCCCAACCCCATTCCCAGCTGTGACACTCACACTTTTGTCCCCCCCTGTCCCCCCCTCCCATACACACACAGGTACCACGACCAGCAGGACGTGACCAGCAACTTCCTGGGTGCCATGTGGCTCATCTCCATCACCTTCCTCTCCATCGGGTACGGGGACATGGTGCCGCACACCTACTGTGGGAAGGGGGTCTGTCTGCTCACCGGCATCATGGTAAGCACCGGGATGGGGCAGTGGGGTGCTTTAGGGACCAGTGCTCTGTCTGAGCATCGAGGTCTTGCAGCCTGAGAGCTGCCGGAGCTTTCCTTGCTGTTGGTTTGCTGGGTTTGGGGTGAATTTTGGTTTGAGGGAAGGGCCGGGCAGCCCATAGCTGCGTGGTGATGGCCTCGTCTTAAGGAAGCAGCAGATGTGGGGACCAGCAGCCCTGCGCATCCCTTGGCCGCCGGTCTGACTTCCATCACACCGAGCGATCCCAACTGCTGCAGCATCCCCACGGGGAGCGGGGACAGCTGGGAGAGCTCCCACCCACGGCACTGACCTGCAGGACCCCATCTACCTGCTCCAAGGGGCTGTGAGCCGGCCTGGCTTGCACTGCTGTGCAGCTGGGGACGGCTGCTCCGTGGCTCTGCACCGCTGTCCCCATCCTCTGCAGCACGTGGCGTTGCTACGACCGAAAAATGCACACTTGGGAGGGGAGGTCCTGGGGCTCCCACCTCACCAGCAGATGTTGTGAACCGTGATACAGTGCGACATCCTGGCAGTGGGACAGGGGGACCCCTGGGCTGGGGACCCCCCCCCTGCCACCCTGCCAAGCCATAGCAGCGCGCTGCGGCTCCCCGAAAAGCGGCGTTAGGGTGGCTGTGCTGCTGGCAGAGGGAAGGGTGATGAAAGCTGAGAGCGCAGGCTGGGAGCTGCGGGGATGCGAAAGGACTCGGCTCAGCCCATGATGTTAATTAATGACTCTTTAATAAATAAAGGATTGCGTGCCAGGGTCACGGGCCTCTGCCAGAGCTGCGGGGAGGGGGAGCGGGCAGAGCCAGGTGGCACAGAGCCCTGGAGGAGCGGGGTCTCCTGCCTGGCACCTTCCGTTCCCAAACGCGCACCGGATCTGGTGCTCATTGCCAAGACGAAGCCACGCCAGCTGCCGCTGCCTGTGGGCAAATGGGGGTCCGGCCCCGTCCCATCACTGCTCCTCTGTGGGTTCTCAGTATCTCCCTTTGCCTGGATTCCCCGTGGGTTCCCTGTCCCATGGGGACACGCGGTGCCGGGAGGGCACCGATGGGCACCTCTGACGTCGTCAGTCAGCCTTGTTAATTGCTGGGAGCTCTGGCAGCTGCTCAAGGCCACGGTGGGAGGCCGAATGCTGCTGTAAACTTGGATTAAACTGGGTTGCCCACGTCAAGATGGCGGGGTTTGTGCAACCTGTGGGTGGGGGCTGGAGGGGCGTGCGGTGCATCCAGTGATCGGGGTTTGCATGTGGTTCCTTGATCCTCGGGGTGGGAATAGAGGGGGTGCAGGTGAGCCCCATCCTGACCCCCTGCCCCTCAGCCCTCCCCAGCCCCTCATACCTGACCCTGTGACCCCTACACAACCCACACCTGACCAGGCCAAGTGACTTCCCCGTGTTCCCCCATCCTGCTGTCCCTGCAGGGCGCCGGCTGCACGGCCCTGGTGGTGGCTGTGGTGGCCCGAAAGCTGGAGCTCACCAAAGCTGAGAAGCACGTTCACAACTTCATGATGGACACGCAGCTGACCAAGAGGGTAAGGGCAAAGGGAGGGCTCCGGGGGGGCGGGGGGGGATGGTGCAGCATCCCTGGGGTCCCATTGGAGCTGAACGCAAAGCATGCTGAAGCATTAGGGTAAAAGCAAAGAGCGCTGGCCCTCTGCTTTGCTTTGCAGCTCTTTGTGAAATGCAGAGAGTGCAGCCGCACCCAGGGCAGGAAATGCACATATTTTCTCCTTCCCTCGGAGGAGATGGACCGTCTTCTCTGGTGGAACATGAGCTCACTCGTCTCAGGATTGGGGTTCCAGTGATTCAGCAGCTCCGTGCTGCAGATGAGTGCTGTGCTGTGGTACGGCTGTGTGCTCCATCCCAGTGGGGCACCCTGGAGCTGTGTGGGTCTGTGGGTGCTGTCCCAGACCCCAGCGTGGCACCGGGGTGGGGACGGGGCTGTGGGACACCCAGGTCACATCCAATGTGAGCAAAGCACAGGGCAGCATCAGGGTTTCAAGTTTAGGCATCTCCTTCCAGAATAGCTTCCCCCAGGGAGCTAAATCCCAAACTGGTCCCGTTTGCGCCATGCATCGATGTCACTTTAGGTGACACAGGTGGCACAAGGTCATCGTGTCCTTGGCCACATCTGGGCTCACAGGAGAAGAGCTCTGCTTGCAACCCAGCAGTGCTGGAGGGCTGGAGGGGCACCCAGCACCTGTTTGAGGTCACTTTTGGCACAAGGGATGGACGGAGTGAGGGGCAATGCAGGCAGGTTGGGGACCACAGGGGCACTGAGCCCTCATCCAGCTCCATGGGGTGCAGATGGGGCATCCGCAGAGGGCGAAGTGGGTGAGGAGCCTCATGGCTGGAGCACATTTCCCCAAAGCATCAGAGAGGGATGGGGATGGGGATGGGGATGGGGTGGTGATGGAGTGGGGGTGGGATGGGGATGGTGATGGGATGGGGATGGTGATGGGGATGCGGATGGGGATACAGCAGGGCCAGGGCCATTGCTCTGCCTGCAGCACTCCATCCCTGCCTTGCATGACCCCACACACGTCCGATCAGGCACATGGAGCTCCCAGCTGGGACAATTCAGGTCCTGTGATCCCAACCAGCAGAGCCCAGCGGGGCCGGAGCGCTGTTTCCATGCAATAATTCGTCCCACGCGCTGCAGCAGATGGGGCTGCTGACCTGATGCCCTTCTCTTACAGATCAAGAACGCGGCGGCCAATGTCCTGCGGGAGACGTGGCTCATCTACAAGCACACCAAGCTGCTGAAAAAGATCGACCACGCCAAAGTCCGGAAGCACCAGAGGAAATTCCTACAAGCCATTCACCAGTAAGTGGGGAGCCGTGGGGTGCTGCGATGGGGGGGAGGGGGCTCTGAGCCTGGGGAGGGGGCCCTTTGGGATCCCACAGCGAGTGGGAGAGCTGAGGATAGGGAGGGGATCCCTCTGATATCCCACTGTGATGGGGAGGGCTGAGCCTGGGGAGGGGGTCCCTCTGTGATCCCATGGTATTGAGGAGGGCTGAG